GAGAGAGAAAGAAAGAAAGAAAGAAAGAAAGAAAGAAAGAAAGAAAGAAAGAAAGAAAGAAAGATTGATTTTTGGAAATAACAGGTAAATTCATATTCTTTAGAAACAAAAAAAAAAAGATTAAAAAATGAAAAAAAGTCTAATCATAAAATAGCATTTTTGCACTAGAAGGTCCCTTGGACAATCTTCTGGTATAATTCTTCTGTTTGAAATATAAAAAACTGAAGTCCAAAGAGGTTATGTGACTTGCTTAGCTGAAGAACAATACCTAGAAACCAAGGTCAGTTCTTTCATATCAAACACTGATTTTTCAATAATAAAAAGCAAACATGTTTAGATAATGTAAACGCTCTTAGAGCTACATGAGGTGGTACTGAGATGAAGTTTCTCAATAAAGAGAAAAACACAAAGATTTTAGTTTTAATAATCAAATGAGTAATATTTATCTTTATATATTTTATATACATTAAGTATCTTTATAGATATTATATATCTTTATATATTATTTATATATCTTGCATATATTTAACACACAATTATTTATAAAACAAGAAAAACAACACCTGTATTTGATATGTAGGTTTATTTTACACATATACATAGTAAGGGTCAACTCTCAGCCATAGAGAAGAATCTACGCTTAAATTTATTAGACAGAAAAGTTCTCTGCCATAGTTTGTCTTGATAAGAAGAGCTTAGTCATCAGCCTTGGGAAAGAATTTGTGACTAAGTCTTCAAAAGGAATTGCAATGAAAACAAAAAATGGCCATACTGCCCAAGGCAATCTACAGACTCAAGGGTATTCCTAGCAAAATACAATGTCATTTTTCACAGAATTAGAAAAAAAACTCTTCTAAAATTCACATAGAACCAAAAAAAGAGCCCAAATAGCCAAGGCAATCTGAAGCAGGGAAAAAAAAAAAAAAAGGCCAGAGGCATCACATTATCTGAGTTCAAAGTATAAGGCTTATACTTCAAATATAGTTTAAACTATAACCAGAACAGCATGGTTACTGGTACAAAAACAGACATACAGACCAGTGGAACAGAATAGAGAACCCAGAAATAAAGTCTCACACCTACACCCATCTGATTTTCAACAAAGTTCACAAAATAAACAGTGGTGAAAGGATTCCCTATTCAATAAATGGTGGTGGAATAGCTGGCTAGTCATAGTAGAAGAATGAAACTGTACCCTTACCTTGCACCAAATACAAACATTAACTCAAGATGGATTAAAGGTTTAAGTGCAAGACCTCAGGCTCTAAGAATCCTAGAAGAAAACCTAGGAAACACCATTCTGGACATCAGCCTTGGGAAAGAATTTGTAACTAAGTCTTCAAAAGCAATTGCAATGAAAACAAAAATTGACAAGTAGGGCCCCATTTTAACCAAAGAGCTTCTGAACAGCAAAAGAAACTATCAACAAAGTAAACAAAACCTATAAAATGGGAGAAACTATTCACAAACTATGCATCTGACAAAGGTCTAATATCCAGAATCTAAAAGGAACTTGATTCAACAAGCACAAAACAAATAACCCCATTAAAAAGGGGGCAAAAGATAGGAACAGACAGTTCTCAGAAGAAGACACACAAGCAGTCAACACACGTGAAAAAATGCTCATCAGTAATCATCAGAGAAATGCAAATCAAAACCACAATGAGATATCTTCTCACACCAGTCAAAATGGCTATTAGAAAGCCAAAAAACAACAGATGCTGGTGAGATCTGGGAAGAAAAGGGAAACTTATACACTGTTGCATGTAAGTGAGAAAAGGGAATACTAATATACTGTTGGTGGGAAGGTAAATAAGTTCAGCCACTAGGGAAAGCAGTTTGGAGATTTCTCAAAGAACTAAGAACTACCATTCAACTCAGCAATCCCAGTACTGGGTACACAGCCAAAAGAAAATAAATCATTCTACCAAAAAGACATATGTACTCACATGTTCATCACAGAGCTACTCACAATAACAAAGATATGGAATCAACCTAGGAGACCATCAACAACGGACTGGATAAAGAAAATATGGTATATATACACCATGGAATATTATGCAGCCATAAAAAAGAACAAAATCATGTCCTTTGCAGCAACATGTATGCAGCTGGAGGCCATTATCCTAAATAAATTAATGCAGAAACAGAAAACCAAATATCACATGATCTCACTTAAAAGTGAGAGCTAAACACTGGGTACACATGGACATAAAGATGGGAGCAATAGACACTGGGGACTATTAGAGAGAGAAAGGAGGAAGGGAAGCAAGGGTTGAAAAACTAACTACTGGGTACTATGCTCACTACCTGGGTGACCAGATCATCTGTACCCCAAGCCTCAGCATCATGCAATATACTCATATAACAAACCTGCACGTGTTCCCCCTGAATCTGAAAGCTCAAATTTCAAAATACAAAAACAGCGTCAGTGACCTACTGCACTGACAAGAAAAGACAAAGATTTCTAGCTTGCATGATTCCAAGTAGATGCTAACTAAAATAAGAAAAAAGAGGGAAAGAGGATAGAGAGGAAGCCAGAAGAGAAGAGAACTTCTGAACACGAGTTTTCTTTGAATCTATAAATCATTAGGAAATAAGACTCTAGACCAGGCATGGTGGCTCACGCCTATAATCCCAGCAGTTTGGGAGGCCAAGGCAGGAGGATTGCTGGAGGCCAGGAGTTTGAGACCAGCCTGGGCAAAATAGCAAGACCTCATCTCTACAAAAAACAAAATAACAAAGAAAAAAAAAAAAAATTGGCCAGGTGCAGTGGCTCACACCTGTAATCCCAGCACTTTGGGAGACCTAGGCAGATAGATTACCTGAGGTCAGGAGTTCCTGACCAGCCTGACCAACATGGTGAAGCCTCATCTCTACTAAAAATATAAAAAAAAATTAGCCAAGCATGGTGGCAGGTGCCTGTAATCCCAGCTGCTCAGGAGGCTGAGGCAGGAGAATTGCCTGAACCCAGGAGGTAGAGACTGCAATGAGCAGAGATTACGCCATTGCACTCCAGCCTGGGTGACAAGAGTGAAACTCCGTATCAAAAAAAAAAAAAAAAAAAAAAAATTAGCTGGGCATGGTGGCACACCTATAATCACAGCTACTCAGGAGGCTGAGCTGGGAGGATTGCTTGAACCCAGTAGTTTTTTTGAGGTTACAGTGAGCTACTATGATCTCACCAATGTACTCCAGGACTGGCCAACAG